GATGGTACTTAGTTCCGCAAGAAATTGACAGCTCTAGGGGGGGGGGCAAAAAAACCCTTTCTTCCTTGACTTTCGAGGCGCTATAAGTTACACTTTATCAAATTCTGATCGGACATTTCTACCACCATATTGAAGAGCATATTAAATACTCACGATACTCCGCCACAGCCTTCTGGAGGAGCGCCATCGAGATAGTCGATTTCTCCGCCACCGTAGACCACCCTATTGAACTCCGCCCGAACCAGGTAATTGAGGGGGTTTAGGTCAGGTGACCTGCTTAGATATTCCACCTTCTTCAGCCCTTCCATTCCAAGTAGGCAAGAGTTTTCCCAACGCCCTTTGATTCCATGTGGTGTCACCCAATCCTGTAGCAGTACAAAGTTTCCAAGAAGGTACGGGCGACGACATGTGGAGAGGATATTCTTCTTGCTCGATGTAACCGCCAGCGCTCACCTTCAGTCCGGGGTCCACGAAGAAAATATTGGTCTTTCCATTCCAGGGTCCATACCATCAACCCGCGCCTTGGCGACTGCGGTGAAGATGATGTCCTAGACCGTAGCGACGTTGTCGGAGCTGTTGGAGGTCTTCCAGATCGAGAGTACTGGTCTCCAGGTAGCTATCCATGGGTGACTCCATACTAGAAGTTTCGCAGCTGTTTGGAGGTGACATGAATTCCAAAGGTCTTCTCCAGTCAGGCTGCGACTGGAGATGACTTCATATTTTGGTGTACATGAAGGTGATGGGTGAGAGCCAGCTCCTGCTTATAGAGGAACATCTTGGGTATCTTCCGCCCTGGTACTCGTATCCACGTCCTCTGTCTGGGCTGCGAAAACTTTGCTGATATGTGACTCGGTCGAAATGACTTTTTTTTGCCCCCCCCCCTGTATGTGCTGCCCTATTAGGCTCACCGTATGGAATTCGGAATATTATGTCGCCACTCCACTGTCAGAATCTGTGGGAACGACCAAAGAGACCAAATGTTGGGGACATATATTATCTCAACTGGTGCCACTATAAAACTGGTGAGTAACGAAATTGGGCACATGTCTTCCCGACCAGCCCTGGACTGTTCCATTTGAATGGGAGAAAGTCGTAGGTGGCCATGTAAAATTTGTCTTGAAGAGACGTCCTGTTCACTCGATATGCAAGGACCTTCCTTGGGCATGAGACAGGTCGCAGATGTTGCGCAGAAGTTGTACCACTTTCATCGCTAAGCAGTGCGTGGTAAGGACGTTGCCCGTTTATGACGAAGTCGATGACCCACCCACTGTCCCATGCTACGTCCAGCCTTCATTGCTCGGATAGCCAGAGATCCTATCTAGAAATTTTGAAACTTCTTTCTGCTCTTCTCTTCGCTGCTGCGTTAGCGAATTCAGTCTTATATCGAGCGTGAATACTTGTTCCAGTAAAGAGCTGCCTTGTGGACGTTCATGATATCAACAGTGATGAATGGCGGAAGATGAGGGAAGAAAAATTGTTATAAAAGTAATGCGAAAGCTGCAAGGGGATCGACAAAACGGAAAGTAACATGTTTCACGGTCGGTGACATCTCTCTCCCACTCGCTCAAGACAACTTTCGCCTCACTTTTGAGTAAAGGGAGGCGCTGAAATGCTCGAAGGCACTCTCCACGATTGCAGTTCGCAGGCAGTGAGGGTCAAAACAAACTGCATGTACTTACTTCAGGGCACATCATTGGTTGGGGATTTGAGTCGAGTCCGTACGACCCCCTCCTTTTTTTGAGGGTTGGTACGACCCCCTGCTTTTACTAATTGCCCTACTTTTCCCAAAAACTTCGCGCGGGGTTTTATATAGTACACATGAAACAGGAAAATCGCGAAAAATCAACCACCACTCCCACCACTCCTG